CTGGTGATTTTAAGGCATTTAATTAAAAAAAATAATAATATATAGTACTTTTTAATATCCAGTTTATACTTTCTGTGAAAAGTACATGAAAGAAATGGCTCTGTGATTGAAAATAAGCAAATGGAAAAAATCAAAACAATAGAATAAAAAAGGTAATCGATTATCATTGTATTACACTCAAGTGGTATTCCATTTTAAATTGCTAAACTTTAATAATACCTTGATTTATATTTGTTATTTTTCTTCTGTCGTATCGTTTTGAAGTTAATAGAAAATGTTGTATTACTTTTTGACATTCGAGTATGATATTTTTTTTAATTTATAAAACTTCATTTTTTTAATCTTGATAGTGGATGAAATTTGACGTTTTAAGCTAGACCTTGTGTAATGTTTAGATTGTTAAACTGGCGTTTATTATTATACAATATTTAAAAAGTAGTTTTACCGTTCGATAATCCATTTATGAAATTATGAAAAAATCACTTTCCGTCAATGTCTGTGCCTTTGACAGGGTTGTAGTGGATTAATGCTGTAGTTAATATACAATATATTATTTTAACCCCCTGTATACTGTATTGGTTTAACTTTTGTGTTATGATGTTAATAAATTGTGTTATCCGTAGTTTTTTAATTACTATTACCGTTAATTAAATAGTTTCACGTATTACATTTTGAAGTAAGGTTAAATTAGGATAGGTTTGTTTTCTAGTAAAAAATTAAAAAAAAAAAGGTTAGGTTAGGTTTATATTTTTTTGTTCTTTGATTGTATCGGTGAGTGGGAAGGACATGTCCTTCCTACGGACCAAATAAAGTTGTAAGAAGTTGTAAGATTTATACAATAAACGATGGTGACCACCCTAAGTATTGTCTAAGGCTTAGTACGGGGTGGTTGTCAATGAAAAAAAAAAAAAATGTTAGATAACGTTAGGTTAGGTTAAGTTTTTTAGAGATAATAATTTTGATTCGTTAGTACATGTTTTCCCTTGGGTTGTTCCATGATTATTACAACATCATGTACCCGCATTTCATGAAAGCTCTGAAAGTATTTTCCATCCGACTTTATTTTACCTTTTATTTTATTTTTGTTTTAACGAGATACCAAACCGGCGCCGTCTCTCAAGCTTGGCCACCTGCTTCTTAATCCGCCCATTTTTACAACTCTGCCGTCTATAAAAATCGAACGTGCCTTTAAGACATGGTACCGATATGGCAGCACACACACACATACACTGAAATGTTGTGTTTTTAACAATCGCACTGTCCGACCATAAATCCTTCGGGGCGGTCCAAGTTGTCAAGGTTAATCTTGCACAGAATAAAAGTACAAACTGTGCGCCGCGGGTTGAAATGGAACCAGAGGGAGAGGCGAAAAAAAAAATCCACACTCTATTTAATAATATTCATTGATCAAAAGAGCCGTGTGACGGCGACGATGGAGGTTTAATATAATAACAATAAAATAAACATGCCGACTGTCAGAAACATTCGATTGGGTTTTAAAAACCGACCGCGCATCGCTCGTTTCGTTTAATAATAATAATAATAATCAAATAGAGCAGCCAGTTAAACGAAAATAAACTATAACGATTTATTCTTGGCAAGCTGTGCGATCGCCTTGTTTATCGCATAAACGCGCCCAAAATATTTCCTTAGCTCGATTGAGAAATGAACATAATCATGTGGATACTAGAATTCCAGTCTAAATATATTAACAGTAATATATTGTATACACGGTAAGGTAGCCCACGAAGACCGAACAGATATTGGCAAATAGCGCATGATAGAGAAGACACATGGGAGAAGATAGTTTTGGCGGTAAAAAATGTATACAGAACGATTGGATAAGTACGATCCAGCCAATATCAAAATTGTTATTGCTTATACTTTTACAGTCAATAGGTAGCCCAATACATTAATCTCATCCTTTATGCGTTAAGAACGTATAAACTTAAGTTTTTTAAACGGTAAAGCCATTACGTTATTGACTTTTCAAATTAAGTAAAAATTGCTGAACATTTATATTGGTCGATATTCGATAACACGTTTAGAATAATTACTATTTTTAACTCAAAAAGATAAGATAATACCAATTTAACGTAAGACCCTCATTTTCTCTTAAAATAATTGTAGGTACATTAGTAGCTTTTCTTGTTGAAGACACTTTAACCTACAATACTAAATAATACTCAGTTTTTAATTGTTTTCCAACATTGAAAATTTAAATGATAATATATTTAAATTAAGAATAATTTTTAAAAATATTAGAATATTAGAAAATTATCAGATGTTTGAACGGTCAAATAAATAAATATTCCATTCCTATTCATTATACTGGTTCACACAAAATTTTGAAGTTATATAAAATACTATAAACGTTGTATATCATAATAAATTTAGTATATTCCTAAAAGATTTAATGCCGAGTTAGTTAAAATGTCATTAAAGGTTTAACGGATCAAAGACTATAATACAAAATTGGCTGTAAAAAAAAAAGTGTCAAAGTATGTTAAAAATATCCTAGGTTAATAAAAATACTCAATTAAGAGCGCAACATAAACAGTAGACATTAATAGAATAATATATAATACATACATAAGCGTAGATGAGTAATTATAAAGTACAGTTATTAAACAATATATCTATATATTACATTATATATTATATACACCCTGTACAATTACGCTGTTAATTAGGGTAATTGTACAGTTTGATTCATTAAGGATAAAACACTCATTTTCTTTTGAAACAACTGCAATTTTTTAATTTTTTGGAGACTGTTTAATTTATGTTGTTGTAAGTCAAGATATGACAATTTTTATTTTAATAATAATAATAATAATAGATGAGATTTGTCGTACAAATATCATTTTATAATTTTTCATTTTTTTAAAATCAATTTTTGAAGTTACAAAAATAAATTATACATTTATTTTATTTTAAACAACTTTGACGTTCTGAAAAGCGCTAAAATAAAATCAATTATTTCGTTGTATATCAACGAAAAGAGGCCAAAAATGAAGTTTTTTTTTTTATAATTGTATAATACAACAACTTAAAATGAGTACATTAACAACATAGAATGTCCAGTAAGCCAGTAAACTTATGTGATTTGAGTTGAACGAAGTTATTGTGGCAAAACATTAACTTTAAAGGTAAAGTTATACTTAAAAACATTTTTGTTAGTTACTACGAGTTCATAGTACTCGATAGACTTATTTGATATTATTGAATATATTTTAATAATTGAAACTATGCAGGAACATATTATTACTATGTACTAACATATTGTAGATACAATTAGGTTATAAGATTATCAAGTAAAATGTCAACATTGGCTTTGTACGGGACGTTAATATTATATTACACCTTAAGGCTTTTTGTGTTTGGAAAATGAAATATTTCTAAAAGGTTTGCCGAACGTATTCAACGTGTATATCACATTAAGTTTTGATTTATTCGTCCTTTTTGAAATCTAAGCATTTGGCTATGCTATTAATTTACAAAGACGGCGCATCCCAACAAGATCACATCCGCTTGAGCGGTTTTTGAAGCGCCCTTACACTAATTATTGTAAGTCCAAATACAACCAGGTACCTTTCGACCTTCCCTTTAGCGATATTAATCCTTGGTAAATAAATAAATAAAAGTATTAATAATCCTTTATTAATGCTTTACACTAAAATAGTTAACGTTTACTTCAACAAATGGTTATCTTAATAGGTAATAAATATTTATCACGTGTGTAATTGTATATTTTTAAAAATCTCATAACGTTATTTTTATAATATCCATTAAGAAGTGTTCTCATCTGTAAGCCTAACCCATGCAACAGTCCTTGATCCACGCCATTAGGGCAGAATCGTAAATACAATCATAAATTAGTCACATGTTTACTAAAAATCCGACCGAGTATCGTTTTTGACTTGTGTAATACAATTATTGGCTTATAACCGGATACAGCCGTTTGCTTCTAATAAAACATAAGAACCAAACTAATCACAATGCCAATGCATTAATATTGCGACCGAGCTGTAACTAAGTATTTATGTGATACATTGTTTATAAAACCCGTTTGGCCGAATAACAATATCACAATGTGTTGAACACATTAATACTGTAACAGCTATACAGTGACTATAAACAGTTTTATGGGCTCATAATCAAAAGGTTTTGATTATGTGTTGATAATACATTTTTTTTTTCACTCACTGAATAGATGTTTTTTTAACATGATATACCAACACATTTACACTTATTTCGTACCCTTCGTAAAATTTTAATAATACATTCAACTGTTGACTGTTTCGCCAAAGTGCGTTTTATTGACAAATGCATAATACATATCAATTTACCGATGAATTGCAATCGACTCTCAAACTCGGTTAAAAAATAGTAAAAAATAGGAATGAAAATACAAAAAAACATTTTTAAATTGTATTTTGATTTCTACAACTCATAATGAAAGAAGAAACTTATGGTGTATATTTTCGTTAGGTTCTGATGACTTAATCATAACAATAAAATAGTAAAGCAATTTTTTTTATACTTTAAAAGGTTTTATGTGGAGAATCATTTTTTAAATAAACAATCCGAGATAACAGCTTTGGATATCGACGGTAACTTCTATGTACTACTACATATGTTTAGGTGTCTCCCATTGGTGTATTAATTACCACAAATATACATCTTCTTGCACACATTGGTATTGTAAAAATTTGTCATTGAAATATGGAACCTTTTTAAAATAATACAATCAAACTATAAAGTAAACAACACTGAAAGTTATGTTATTATTTACAACTTTTTCATTACTGCAAACGTTCAACTGGTGTTTGAAAAATGCTCAATCTTAGTATAACAATAACAGCTATAAACCAAAAACAATGCCTTCTCGGCTCCGCATCGAAGCAAGGCGAACTTTCTGAATTTTTTAATATTTTAAGACATTTTTCTGGCCTATAAAATAATTGTAAATATAATATATCGTGTGTAGTGATTACCTTGAACTCTGTTGTGTTAGGTGTATTGTCTCGAGACTGGATGACTTCACACTCAACTGTACAAGGATCGCCCGGACAACAGACGAACAGATAGGGTCGACACGCGAGACGCGACCGCGGGATTGTGATGGGTTGGCCGGCAGTCAGGCCGGTGCCGGTGGAAAAACCATCGGTTAAGTCGAACTTTTCCGATTGACGACGAAGCGGTTGAGGCGACTGCGACGGCCTCAAATCCACAATTGCAGCAAACGGTCTTGTTTAATGTTATAATATCACACATATCACACAAACGGCCGGTTTCGCCGACTATTGTTAAATACACTCCTCTTAACACAACGTTAGTTTCGACAATTCATTTAAATTTAACATCTGGTTGAATGAAATTAGTTTCACCGTAACGTTAGCACTGTTAAATTCTATTTGTCAAGTTAACAAAAAAACGTTAGTTGGGTTACCAAAGCGGTTACCTAGATTCCAACGTTCTCATTGGTTATTAAGATAATATATGTGATAAGTGATAAGTGATTGTATTTTTTTAATTTGTCAGTTTGTTATTATTTGATTAGCCTATACCTTTCTAAAAACAGTTTGTATTGACAAACTATATTATTGAATATAGTTTGAATATAAGTTAAACTCTCAACAAATGTTGGTGAAACCGACTGATTGTTAATTATACTTCACGACTAGTTGATGAAAATTGGGTTTCATCGAGATTTGTTAGCCTTAACACATTGTTAAATGGATCACCCGAAATTGGCATGTTAAAATGTATTATAGTACTTATATACAATATTTATATTGCTATAGTTCAGAAACCATTTCTTCAATGGCACAGACTTGCATTATAGGTTCATATATCATAATTTATTGTATTTTGTAATTTAGATATTGTTATTATGTCTTGCTTGTCCTGACAAAGGAAATAATTCTTATCACTAGTTACCTTTTTTTTAGGCCTTCAAAATAGAAAAAAATAAGAGCTTGACCCTTACTATACTGTCAGTAGTGTAGTTAAAACTTAAAACTTATAAACTAAAAAACTAAAAACTGTTTTGCATATACAATTTTACTTGAAAAATATTATAAAAATTATACAATAAATTCTCATGCACTATACTTATTTATATTTATGCATACCGAATATTTAAATTTATTTTTTAAACAACAGTACGAGTTTTAGTTGAACGAAATCGACCCTTTTCGTAAACAAATAAGCTACTTAACTCCTTTCATAAATGAAATAACTAAATCATAAACGGGATTGTGTGCAATCGAGTGATGTAAGCCAAAGCTACTTTACAAATATACATTTTTTATTATGACTTTACAAATTTGCTCTGACTGGACGTTGCGAAAAATGTGAAAACTTCATAAGTATTCGGATAATATGCCACCAACAAAGAATTTAAGGTTTAATTTCCATGTTAAGTAACAATATCCTAGCGGTATATGTATAGTGGTACCTATATTAAACTACCTACTTATGTGTTCGATTATATTTTATTTTCTTACACTAATAATTGTTTAATTTTAGTTATAAAGACGTTAGCTAATTGATACTATAGTAAATATTACACCTGGTAGCACTTGGAGTTTTTTTTTTTTGTAGTTGTTGGCTAGTTTATAATATGTACCTAACCGTTGATATGTGTTTCAAACAAATATTATCCCAAGACGCGTTTTAGTAATTATAAATACACTCAAACACCGAATCGTACTACAGAAATCGCTATTCGAAACCCTTCAAATGGAAATAGCTAAGCAAATTTGTACAGGACTATGGAAGGTAGGCGTATCTGTTTAAAAAGTGTACTTAAACTAATACTTTGTTTGGCCTAAATAGTAAAACAACACAGCATGTTAAATGATGGCATCTTTTTGTATAGATTAGTTGACTAAACAACAAGCAGGTTTGTTACAATTATTTTTGCACAAATTTCATCTTGTTTCCAGATATTAGTGTCGATGCCAATGGAAGGATGGCGCATGTTTCGACAGAGCCCACGAGCCGTGTCATTCGCCTGGCTACTGGTTGACACCAGCGTGGAAATAGCTATATTCGTACTAATGTCCTGTGTGGTTTTCGTCCTGCAGACCATTGACATTGTCCAGGGCAAGTTCCCGGACAACCACGGTAAAACCAGCTTGGGCGGGGTGAACAAAAATAGATAAAACAGGTAATTCGATTTGGGATTGCTCGATTCGTTTACATTAATTAGTACAATTTTCCATACAGGAATTCAAGAAGACAAGTTTTTCGACCGCCATTTGATTATTACCAAAATATTTTACGGGTTCGAACAGACAAAATCGTTGGTATTTTAATTATCATACCAAATTGTTAAAAAGTTAATTTTAAAAATAAAAATAAAACTGTTTGAAATAAATACATGCATGATTTTTATTTGTATATTGTCATGTGGTTAATACATACATATAGCTAGACTTAATGTTTTTCTTATCCTTGCCACCGTGTGTACATAAACAATTTAGGAGGTGCCGCATAGTAAATTATAATAAATAGGGCTTAGCCTTTCATATTTTTTACAAGACTTAAAATATTACTTAAAGTCTACTACCGTACAAAAATTTAACGTGAAATTATATGCAAACCTTTACATAGGAACAAAAAATGGTTATTTAATCGAATGATATAAATCTAAGGTCGCTAAATCTGTCAGAGCAAGCATCAGACCGTCTTACCAAAAACCTTAATTTAAGCTAAAAATCTATAATTGTTTACTAGTACATCTGAGTTTCCCCACGAACCTCTAAGTATACAACCTAATTGCTTGGCAAGTCGTTTTAAGAAAATTACCAGATTGCGCTGCCTAACTAATATTTGAGTACAACAAACAATATTACTAAGAAACGGAATGTCACCGCTTCACAGCAGAGTAAAAAAAACAAAACCTTTGAAGTCATACTAATTAGCAATTAGCAACTACTCTGGTTTGGTAAAAATGTCAAAGAAATAACTTTTCAAGTAATTTTCCTACGAAATAATTGTTTTGACTAAAAGAAGTTTGAAATAAACTCGGTTTTGTATTTTTAATGATCAACTATTATATTTAATGTTCAAGTTAAAAATATCATTTTAAAGAGTAACACTAGAAAATGATTTTCAATATTAAAAAAACAACCTATGTATTAGATTTGCCTAAGAAAAGTAGAAAAATGCAATAAAAATAATTATCTAACAACAAATTAAACAAATCTGCTTGGAAAAAATGTATTGTAAGTTGAAAATGTTTTGACTTAAACATTTTTAAGTGTTGTAATATTTTTTTTTTTATCGTCTGGAAGTTTTTTTGACGGATACACGTCTGAATAGTAATTAGTAGTACATTCGCAATTAAATATTTAAACAAGAGTGAAATTTCGTAAATTATTAATTTTAATTTTGTGTTCTTACGCTTACGACTGAAAATATTTTTCTTACTCTTAAGTTCCAAGTAACACTTAATAATTAAGTAACAAGTATAGTGAAAACAAATTAGAAAAGTTTTCAACCACCGAGTTTGTAGAAACCAGGGAATAAAATCCTTTTTTCTATCTTAAGTTCAAGGTTTTTTAAATTTATTTGATATTTTTGTGTTATACACTTGCGCCGCCCAACCGTATTTATATTTTGTTATTTGTAAGACATCTCAAAAGATCCGAACACAATAGTAAATCATTTAATTCAATTAACTCTTGCTATAATATGATTACCATTCCACAATTGTACTTTAACATTGGATAAAGACTCCAAATATTACTGAAAAGTAGCATGGTATCCATACTAAATTTTAAATCAATTTATTACAATATATTAATTGTCAGTACCTAGGTAATCACAACTCAGGCAAGTGCTACTGTAGTAAGTATACTACAGTAGTACTAATAATAAATAATTATTTGGAGATGTAAAAGTTTAATTCACACACTATAAGGTTTTAGGTAGTGTATAATTGTAATTGGATCTGTTCCATTACAATATACATTTTTTTGTCACAGTAAATGAACAGTTAATTAAGATTAAGATTAATTAATTAAATACTTTTTTATTAGGTATGTAAGAATCATAACACAACCTCATTTAAATCAGCTAATCGACAGACAAGAAAGTTAGTTAAGCAAAATATTATAATAAATATTAACATCAATTTGAAACTACTCCAAGTGATTTATTGAGAAAAATGTAAATATAGCATATGTTCAGTTTCGATGCAGAGCTGAGAAAGTATTTGGTTTTTACATTATGTGTTTTTTATTATTTCATTTATTTTGTGTGTTCAAGCTAATAATTTTTTAGGTAACAAGTTTACAGATCAGATATCAGACCTGAAAATGACATAATTGGGCCAAAAAAAGTTCATTTCGCCTTTAAAATCGAGAAATCCCAACCAAAATATAACATATTATAAAATTTAAGTTGATAATGCTAAATTGTATGAATTATTCTCTAGATAGGACACTATCGAAAAACGTTGACAATATATGCATATATTTTGCATATGGGTAAACAGTTTTAGAAGTGAGTGTACGAAGTACATCTAAAAAATAACAGTAAGAAAGCGGGGTATAAACAAAAAGACATTCAACGCAAATAAAATCGTTCTAGAAACGATGTTGTTTACTGCAAAGCACAGCCCAATTGCTAAAATTGAAACTGTTTTTATTTCTGAAGTATATTTTCTTATGGAAGGTACTGCGATAACTTGTTACAACCGTAAATCATAGCTATTACTGTAATTCTATATTTTCTACATCACTAACAAATCAGTTTTTACTTCCAAAAATAATATTTAAATATTCTGCATCCGAGATTATCTTTTAAAAAATAAACATGCATTTGAAAAATATCATACTGTTTTTCTTCGTGACGTTGCCCTTTTTTCAATGTCAGGGTAGCCTAACAAAAGAAAAAATTGTATGTATAACGAGCACTTTATGCAGAAAAAATACAAACAAAAATCCGTCTGGTAGATTGGCGTTTTGATTTTGCTAAGCAAGACTCGGTTTTATGTGTAAACTAAAATATATACATTTTATTGTTCTTATTGTGAAAATTATAGGACTTGATTAGACGCTTGGTGCCGGACCTTGTGGGGCAACGTAGAATAGACTTTGTAACCATAAGAGAAATATTTAGCAATGTAGCAGATTCGCTCCACCAATCTTTTCAGCCATCCAC